CTGTCCCTCTTCCACTTTCAGTTCTTCCTACTTACTGTCATAACCAGGCTTATTTAAAAAAAAAAAAAAGCTGGACTGTTTACAACATAACCTTTGCCTATAATTTGAAGATGTCTGCTTGGGAGGTTTGTTTTTATTCTCATGAGCTTATAGCATCTTGTGATACCGAGTTGAACATCTTAGTACTTGAGCCCTTCTTCGTTCCAGTTTCCAAAATGAGACAGATACTCAAAATTGCATAGATTTTATCAACTGTGTGTCAAGTCTTTGAGCTGTTTATTATCTCTATTTTTCTTAAGTCCTTTGTTTTGTGGATTTTTTTTTTAATAGCACAGGGTGTTTGAGAGATGTAGTGGTTATTAAATTGACGGTCGATAGCTGGAGACTGGGGTTAAGAAGCAGGGGTAGAGTTTGGAATTAATGGAATTTAAGGGACTGACAAGATTAGGTAATAGACTACGAAGACTGTTTATTTTGCCCATTTCTGTATACCCAGAGTTTACCATGGGGCCAAGAATTAATAAGTGAATGAGTGTTTCCATGTAAATTTTTCTCCTTATCTTCATATCCTTGTAATTGTGGCACATTTATATATTGAAGGCCAATTTTTTATGTTGTTTAAATGAAACTCTGTTGAATATCATCAGTCCCCAGCCTGTTTGGCATGGGGTGCTGGTGGAGGGGGGATGGTTTCCAGATGATTCAAGCGCATTACATTCAAGTTCATCTCCTGCTGTGCGGTCTGGTTCCTAACAGGCCTGGACTGGTACTGAGAGGTTGTGAACCCCAGGGATAGGTAACAAAATGCACCCTGTTTTGTTCCAGGTTCCTGGGAAGGTTACAGGTTTATGCGGATTTTGTTCTTGGAGGGGAGAGGATATCTTAAGGGGCAAAAATCTTTGTAATCCCTCTTTAACTCACTTTTGTTGACCAATTTTCTTTCCTGAAAAAGAAGTTCCTGTAATTCTGCAGTGAGGATTGATGCCCGCCCCCCCCCCCCCCCCCCTTTCTCTGTGTGACAGCTGGGAACCCAGTTCCTTACCGCATTGACACAGTTGCCTGGGACTCACACAAATAGGTTGTGCTTCTACCACCTCTTGAAATACGAGTTGTATTTCCAAATCTACAAATTTCCAAAATTGCCATAGAATGAAAATTGTTTAAATACGTAGTCCTGACTGCTGATGAAATTCATATTTCATGACACTTTTTTTCTGGAAGCTAAGTCCTATAGTGTGTGTGTGAGGAGCCAAAAGAAGTGTAACGTATATAAAGGGAGTATTTTGTACCTTGAAATGTGATTTTCCTGTTCTTCTGTCCTATGTAAATTTGATTTTATTATTGAATTTCACGTTCTTCTTATATTTAATCATTTGTAGCATGGCAGAACTAAAAACAAAATATTGCCTTCTTTTTGTGTGGCATAAAATAAATAGCTTTTGATACTAATCCTCAAAAATGAAATAGGAAAATAAAGGATTTAAAGCATTTGGACCACATAAAATTAAGATGTGTGAGGGGGAACCTCCATTACTGAATCTAATAAAATTCAGTTATGTTTTCCCCTGAAGTCATTGTACTCTAACCTTTTATCATTATGTCTTGTCATTTAGAACATCTATAATTTATATACTTATTTTTTAAAAAAGTTTTCCTTTTTTCCTGCCTTTCTTTCCTACATCTATTTCCCAAATTATGGATTACCGTAATTCTACTTTCTGGTCTCCTCTGTTAAAGACTAATTTTTACTCTTGCCTCTTTTTAGATAAAGTGTTAACATGGCTTTTAAAGATAATAATGAAAAATTTTCTAATTTTCTTTCTGTTTCACCCAGTATTGAAAGTTTATTTTTTTTATTACTCTTTAGTTTCACATCCAAGTCATAGTCACTTCATATTGTAAAGGTTTTGGATATCTTTCATCCATCTGAGAGTTGTGGCAGAACTCTTAAAAGGAAAGAATTATCCCATTTACATGCATGTATGAATTCTGATAGCCAAGTGAAATCTGAAATTTAAAATATCCTTCACTGACTATAGTGTTATAATTAATACTGGAGTTCAGTAGTAGTGGGAAATTGTCAATATAATTTTTTTGTGCTGTGATTAAATTGGCTAGATGAAAAGTCTCAGAATAGGGGTTGTGTTTATTTGTATAGAAATAGAAATGGTTTTTCTGATGTGAACATATCAAGGTTATTCTTTGGAACATTGAAGTGCCATTTTCAAATATCCTAATGTGTTGGGAGAAGGCCAGCTACTGGATAATTATAACAAAAGTCTGTGTGAGTGTTAAATGTAGTTAATTATCTGTTCAGATGGGCAAAAATTAATTAGAGAATGTCCACAAAATGCTAGCAGGAAAAAAAAATGCTATCAGGATGAAAAAACCATTATGATAGCAGATCACTATTAATAATAAAGGGAAATGTAAGATTTATCTAGAATGTATTGATAAGATGAAATCACTATGCATCTACAAAGTTAAACAAACTTTCTAAGGGAGGAGTGAGGGGTATAGAAGTGCTGGAGATGAGGGACTTGAGGACGTTGACCCCATAGACACAGTTTGAATCTCAGGTTCATCACTTACTGGCTTGTGATGACAGACAAGTTACTTAATCACCTTGTTCTTCAATTTTTCATCTATAAAATGGGACTGATAATACTCCAAAGTTTTGTTAACAGGTTTAAAATATATGTAAAATGCCTAGCACTCTGCTGATACCTAATAATTCAGGCCTATTACTGTTAGAAATAACAACAGAAATGGGCAGAAACATTCTTATAAATGTACAATTTTATTACTTTCAAGTTATTTGATGTTTTTTATGTCTGTAGTTTTAAAATTAGTTTAAGTAGCGCAACACTCAAAAGTCACTGTGGTCTTTGTAGAATAACTTAAGATACTGCTCTGCTTAATTTTACCTTCAAAACATGAAAATTTTTTTTTGGTAGAAGATAGAACTAAATTGTGTATCTGTGAAAGAGAGCAGAAAGATTAAATTACAAATACATGCATCTACAAACTAAAGCTGTCACTCAAACTAATAAGCATGATTATGATAAATTGTTTTAAATTCTTTAATATTTTGCTGCCTTAATTTATTTTGTAGTCTGCTAATGTTCATGGAAAATCAGTAATTGGTACCAACTTTTATGGAAAATTTGAGTGCAAATGTTTAGAAACGCCATCCATTACATTTTTTCCCCTCCCACAAATTGAGGAAACAAATTATTTTATTTTAGTGGCAGAACAACTCTCATAAACTCTTCAGAGATCTAGTTCAGGGACAACGTGTAATAATAACTATTGCATTAATTGGCTGCTTGTTAAAATAATACGAGGTCTTATTTTCTTTCATTATTAAAATTACATCTGTTAAAGGCTTTAAACCCTGAATTTTAATTTTTATTAGAATGTATTGGAACAAAGCACTAGACTTGGCATACAGAGACCCAGTTTTAAGATCAGTCTCTGTCACTTACTGTGCTCTTTGACAGTGTGCAAGTTAAGTTCTGGATTTTTGTTTATCTTTCCTTTTCCTTTAACTTTGGTCCTGCAACTTTCAAGTATCTTTAGAATATTCCTCTGTATAATTAATTGCACATTGTTTAAGTTTTACCTGCCCTTTTAATTTTATGTTTTATTTGGAAGTCAAAGTAATACCTATTTTCTGCAAAACTGGGGTAGAGAAAAAATAATAATCACAGAAATTTCTAATTTAACAATATACATTAGGGGTATGACATGTTCACGGTTGCCATTTGAATTTGAATTTTTATTAGTTCCACTTAGAATTTAGTTTTTTTACTGTGCAGTCTGAAGCTGTTGAAAGTGAATCTCTGAGTTCTGTGAACTGCCTTCCTCTTTGAGACTTTCAGCATTTATGTGCTCACTTTGTCATCATAAAGGGGTCTATAAACCCAGATAAAGCTATTAATAGCAATTACGTGTCCTTTTCAATGCTGTAAACAACAGAGCAGCCTCAGGTCTGTTAAGAGTGTGTGTTAGAATTGGCTTTTGAATCTGGAGTAAGCTATGTATATACAATATAAAGTATAATGGTAATGATAGACTACCCCGATTTAGAAAACTTGTTAATTCTCATGTTAATGGGTGTTTAAGTAATAGTGATCATGGTTGCAGTCTCATATTGCTTCATGAAAAGAAAATTTTAAAAATATATAAATCATTAGCTATGAACTTTGGATTGAAAATAGCCTTTTTATTATATTAACATCTTGTTCTTGAAAAAGAAAAGTTTTCATTTAAGACAAAATTCTTTTCAACTTTAGCTGGATCTGTTTGTTCTGAATTTTAATATTATATATATTTCTTTATTTTTAAAAAAATGTTAGTGTTGCACTTTCTGACTATTTTATTGTTGGAAAACAAATGGGGAAATTACAAATCAATTTAATAAAATAATATGCTTTATAAGAATGGTCTTTTATTGTTTCTTTTTTTGTTTGAGAAAATATTGCCACTTTTCTAAGACCCGAAAGAGAGGCTTACATATCCTTATAAATTCTGTGTTTAGACAGAGGCAAATGGGAATAGTCAAGATTGCATTTTTTCCCTTCTTTTTATTCTAATAGCCCACATTGATTGTGATGTAGGGATATTCAGTACAATATCCCTAATTGTACTGAATACTTTTATATATTTATATAATTCTTATACCAATTTTATGAAATACATACTCCTATTATCTTCATGTTTAGATGAGAAAATGAGGATTAGAGAATATAAATGAGTTGCTCAGAATTGCATAGCTAGTAAGTGGTAGAAATGGGATTTAATTCCAGATCTGTTTGACACATAGATAACGATAACGAATATGTGTACCAGCCTCATAAATACTTACTCAGTAATGAATGAAAAATAAATGTCACGGGTCAGTTGGCTTAAGAAAAAACTGTTATGAAATGGGTAGTCTGGTTTACATCTAATAGATGGAAGTTTTTATGTTGCTGATTTTCTGCCTTTTCTTACAGGAGAAAAGATTGAAAGAAAAGGAAGCCAGAAGGGAAGCCAGTAAGAGACATGCAAAGGTAAGGAAGGGTTTATATTTTAATGAGAAGGTATTTGTAACACTGACTGGAATTTAAATACTCTTATTTTCCATCTGCCTTTTATATTTATTTATACATCATGACATTTGAATTGGATTTTAAGTCTGTGTGTGCCTGTCATTTACTTTCTCATATTAATTTGTTTTCTCTGTGATGCAGGATGAAAAAAGTCTAAGATAATTTGTTTATTGGCCTTTGCCCTACTACTCCACAACGTTTTTTCATTATATTTTGCATCTATTAAATATAGGAGATGGTAAACTCTGTGGGCCTGATAGGATTTTAAACTATATCACCTTTAGACTTTGTAGACAGCCTATGTGAAACCAACCTGATCATAGATAACTGGAAGCATTGGTTGCTTCAGTTCAACTCTGAGACTCTGGGGGAAAGTTCTCTGTGTCTCCCATTTTCATTACATATTCTGTAAACAGTAATTTTCAGTAAGTATATATGTACAGTTTTGCTGAAATATGTATGTACAATAGTCAACACCATCCATGTGCAGCAGTAATTTTTATCTGGTGTGTTTGACACAAAGAACGGTTTAGTTTCTGCATTCTGAGGACATTTAGGAGAAATGATTTCCTAAAACCAGGGCCCAGTAATGTATGTCATTTCTTACGCTGTATCTCTTTGTGCTGTGGCTGACTATCCACAATTTCTTCTTGGCAGTTAGCAAAGATCCAGCTCCCTTGAGTAAGCCCATAATGTTCTTTGTCATTTTTTTCCATGCTGGCCATAGCACTTAGAGAGCAAGTCAGAGGTGATAACTCATGTTATAGTTCTGAAGTGGGAAACAATTACTCTACAGTGCAAGGTGAAAAGACAGCTTATATTCAGTGTTAAATATCACTCTGCCTTCAAAGGTGCCTGAAATGAAGCTACGTTGTGTGCAGCCTGATTGCTAAATCCGATCTTGGATTGTGCATATGCCTTTAAAGTGCAGATGGGAGCTGTCATGGCATGGAAGTTAGATCTTAGGGCTTCAGTAGGAAAAATTTGAATCTAAGAAGAAAATTTTAAATCTAATGAAAGCATTTGATATTTATGAATTTATGAATGAATATTGCATGTTTACATAAAAACATTCCTATTTATTTCACTAAGAAGCTGTCATTTCTGCATATAAAATTATAAAATGAAAGTTATAACCTGGAGCCAAAAGAAAGCTCTGTTACTATATTTCCTTTGTGTGCATTCATGTATACTTGCATATTACTAAATATGTTTTTTTTAAATTGTTGATACTGTATGGTTTATCTTTTATAGTGTTTGAACTGTAAGAAATTGCTCTCACCCTTGAGCTTGCTTATTGTGCCTCTTTTTTCCTCATAAATTGATGTGTTTGGTTTTGATACTGTGCCAGCTGGGAAATACACAGACAAAAGGCTGTAAAGGCCAGCAGAGCTCACATTTTCCATTGGAGCAGATCTCTAAAGTGAACTCTTCCAGCCAAGCCCCTCCCTTTACTCTTCACCTCCTCCCTGATTTGTCATATGTGTTTGTTTTTTGACATTTAAGAAAGGAGGAGGAATTTATTGTCAAGAGGACATCTCCTTTCTGTATTACCACCAAGGATTGTACTGGGAACAAATGGAAGAGGCTCTGGAGTTGACCTGGCCTTGCTGCTCAGCCAAGGAACTTTTCAATAGCCAAAGGCTATGTGTTAGTATCACTTTCAATAGTCAGCTGCCTCCATTTCACAGCCTTGTCTGAGTGCTCAGATGTGGTAGTCCTGTTGTAAGAATGGTATTAGCAGAGGGATAGTGTGGATGGGTTGTAGCTAGGACTGAAACATTCCTGGAGATACCAATGACTGCAACAGTGACAGATTCAGGCTGATTGACAGATCAAGGAATTAGCTTAGAATCAATCTTTATATACTGAGCTTTTTTCAACTGAAAGTGATGGAGATGGAGGCCCTCATGGTTTTTCAGGTGTCCCTTAGGAAACAGACCCAGAAGCTATTATTTGGAAGGATTATGTAAAGTGGTAATGGCCCAAAGTTCTGTGATGTCTAAGAAGAAACATATAGAACATGAATGATCAAGTTTCCTGTTGTCCATGTGTGTGTGCTTTAAATGACAGATATGATAATTTTAGGGTAAACTTTGTCCATTTCTTTAATATATTTAAACATAATCATTTTGTGATTTGAGGCTGTGCCTTCTGAGGCCATTTGGTCAGCTTCATTGTAGATGATCCTTCAGTCACTGAACCTGTAAGATTTCCAAATGGTGCTTTAGTGGTAGAACCAAAGTGATAATTTGTTGACTTTCTATACCAGGAAGTGTAGTCTTACCATTTATAGCTATTTTAAGAAATCAGTGCATAGAAACTGAAAGTGTGATAAAGGGACTCACATAGCTGTCTTTCTGCCCTATTTGTGCTTCTTTTAGCAAATACACTTATGAAGAACATAGAGGACACGATATTTTTTAAAATTGGAAAAAAAGTGTTTGAATAAAAGTTAATGGAATTATCTTTATTTCCAGGAAAAAAAGATAATGATAATATGAGGTTTTTCAATATTCTGAGTGATGGTTGGTGGTTATCTCTTCCCTGACATAGAAAATATTCCTAAGAAAATTGCTTCAAAGCCCGAGTACAGTAAAATAAAGATGAAATGGACCTCTCAGGAATCAGTTACACCTTTTTGTTAAAAGATAGATCGAATATCTGCCTAGAATATGTTACGTGCAGTGTCAGGAGTAGGAGAGAAACATGAAGTTGAAACTTGGAGGGTTTTCTGGATACCCAATATTTAGTAATTTGGGTGATACAGGTTTTTGTATATCAAAACAGTAGTATAGAAATATTTGAAAGGCACAATGGATTTTATTTTACTTGACAGGATGTTTATATACTTAGAACTTTTAAACTGAGACCTGAAAAAATATTTTCAGCAGTGATCAATAGACTACATTGCTTTTTGAGTTTAGGAATGTTACATAATCCTGGAAATACAGCTTCACCTCATTATCCAGCTAGATTGCCTCATGTTACTTTGATGGTGCAAGTGCTTGTACCAGCCTGTGGTGGCTGGAAGGATTTTGCAGAAATGTAAAGAAAGGAACAGCAATGCTAAAACTTGAGGAAATAGATCCCCAGAAATATCTCAGTGCCATGCTGCTTTTGAAAAGAAAGTAGAATTTATTTTTTAAATGTATGAGATTGATAAAACTGAACACTGAAGATGAAGGAGCAAAGAGTAGAAAACAGCACTTAAACACTGGACAATTAAGCATTGCTTTGAATGTATTCCAGATGCTTAAGATTCTTATTTTTTAGGTGTGGGAATATGATATTAAAATAACTGTTATATGTTATTTTTAAGGTTGAAGTTTAATGGCTGTACAGTTTAACTTGATTTTTTTTTTTGGTCTGGTTTTTATTGCATTTTTATTTTGGTGACCCTGGGGCACTTTATTTACTAATGTAGTAATTTTAGGACATAGTGTTTTGGTCACCTAAGCTGGTCTCAGTTCTTTCAAAATAGGAGATCCAAAGAAATAGAAATTTCAGGACATGAACAGGCCTGAGAGAGATGATCTGGAGTAGTTTTCTAAGGTAGTGGTCTAAAATGTCTTTTCCTCTGGCCACCAACAGTTTCATAAAGCAAAGCTAAATTTATTCATTTTGATAGAAATTTCTTCCTTTTTTTTTGGCTCTGGAATGTTCTTTCATTTATGAAATAATAACGATTTTTAAAATAATCATTGCTTAACAAAGTAAAAACTCAATCCTTCCAAATCATTGTTTGAGTTTTTCCTGGCCCATGAAATTTAAGGTCCGTGGGGCCTCCACTGATATACTCTAGTAACTATAAATAGTACCGTGAGTGGCTTAGGGGTTCTTTGGAGGTATCGGGGGAACTCCCCACTCTGCCAGGACACAAGAGGGTTATTTGGGCAGGACTCTATGCTTCCATTTTGTTATTAATCAGAGAAGATTTTTTTTTCCCTTTATGTGTACTGAGCTTCCAGGGAAGCTTTTATTTGAAATGGTGGTTCCTCTTAAGTACATACATAAATGCTTAATATTTTAAGAGTACCCAAATCGATGGATGCCAAAAGCAAGTAAATGAATTATTGATTGTCCCTGGCTTCTAGTGGCACAACTGGTTTGTGTACTGGACCTACCTGAATCCTCATTCCCTGTTACTGTGATTTCCCTGTGCTGTTTTGGTATATAACATTTTACCTCTTCTCCCCCGCCCCTTCAAAAACAAACCTGGTCTGTGGTACATGGGCTAACACCTGTTCATATAAAATTACTAATAGGAAATACATTGAATAAGGACAGAACTCTAAACTGGGACTAGAAGCAGGCTTAGGACTACATTGATGGGTGACCCTGGGCATGTCATTTCCTTTTGGAGCTTGAAGGGAAAATATGGCTTGGTCATTTTTAATCATGTTTATATTGTTGCTCCACATAATCTTGATCTGAGCTATGATATATAAAAAAAGATAGGAATTATACTCAGTGTAATTCCCAGTAAAGGTCCTCACCCAGGCTTTTTCAACATTTGTGGATAACTACTAGTTTTTCTTCATCTGTTACTGTCGGCTTATTTGCTAAAGGATTCTCTCTCATTACAAAGCTACAAATAGACATTGATAAGTGTTCTAACAGTCATTTCTAATTTTTCTAGATCTTAAGCCTTTGCATGTATTCCTTATTGACAGTGTTTTACCAACACCAAATTAAGATTTCTTTTTCATTTTGGGAGGAAATTTCTCTTCATTTTGTGTGTTTCAGACAACTAACTCCCCTGGCTTTTTTCTTTCTTTCTTTCTTTTTTTTTTAAAACATTTCATAATATTGAAATGTTACCAGCCTCTCTCTTTATTCTTCATATGGTTAGGATTACAAGGGCTCTGTGGGATCAGTTTATTTTAAACCAAACAGCTTTCAATATAATTAAAAACAGGATAATAGAAACATAAATTTGTTTACAGTCCCAATTCCCG